TATATATATATAATGTTTACTCTTTTCCTTTATAAAGAATTACATTTTTATTTCATTTCATTCTAGCTTGTTCATCTCATTCTATTCAAAAAAAAAAAAAATTTGTTACGGCTACATATATGAGGCAAGTATTTTTATAAACGTTTTTTGAATCTTGGACTTGTCCCTATTTTAGTAAGTCCAAGTAACCAAACTCACTTTATATATATATATATATAAATTTTCTCTCACTTGATTAATTTAAGAATTATATTTTAACCCTCTCATCTCTCATAATAAATTCCCTCTCATTTGATATGCTCTATATATATATATATATATATCACGTGTATGCATTTTACTTTGATGTTTATATTCGTCATTTGCACGTGTACACATGCACTTGCATAATTAATTTCAATCAATCAAATAAAAAATAAAGTTATTCAAAGTTTTCTCATGTGATCAATCTAATGAGAAGCAAATAATAAAAGAATGATGTTATTTCTTGAGAAAGTAATAGCTTCCTTCCAAAAGCATAAATAGTTAACACTTGTTAAACTTACCAACTAATACACTCGATCGGAAAAGGTTTCAGAGTCTTGCTTTTGGAGGATGTATCATTATTTTTCATAATATAAAAACAATGGTAGGGAAATAAAGCCGGTGGGATTTTTTGAACACGTTTGAAATAGGAAAAAAGTGTATGATAACTTTCCTTAAAGGTTATCAAAACATGTTTACATAAACTTCTATGTAAATATTTATAGATGAAGAAAAAAATTATTCAAACTTAGCCATGGCAAAGAGAAACCTTGAAGAGTATTTGATTACATATTGATATAGCGATGCAAAGTTTCATTTCTTTCTGCCTCACGGTTTCAGTCTAGCTAGTGATGACACTTTCATTAGAAGTCCAGAACATGAAAAATCATCATTTGCCGTTAAAATTAGGTATAATATTGAACTATGGCTTCGAAACAATTGAAGTGCATATGATATAGTTGTGTTATCAAGATCCAATCCACCATTATGAATTTGTCTAAACAAGAAATGATGGGTTCACTATCATAAATTATTGTTTTTATTTGCCGAATTACAATAATTATTTGTCTTTCAACACAAAAGTTTAGTTCTAATGTATAATGAATAAAATAATATATTTATAACAATATATAAAGGAAATACATTTTTTGATGTCTATTTTTTTAAAGACATTTATATTCTTATGTTATATTTTATTTTATTTTTCTATTATTTATATTTAAGGATAAAATAATATATATATATATATATAATAATAATAATTATTATTATTATTATTATTATTCTCTTTAAAAATTAATTATTCACTTTTTTAAAAAAATTACTAATTTATTTTTATTTTTTTTACGGAAGCACAAAGTGTCGTTTCTTCTAGTAGTGATAAAAAAAAGATGTTTGATTCACGTAAGAATTGAGTGAAAGAATTGTTATATAAAAAATCTTAAATATTAGATTCTATTATAATTAAATAGTTAAAATTAAATAAATAATAACTTATTTAAATGGTCATTGACTTTAAATAGTTTTTTTTTGGGGCAGTGGACTTTAAATAGTTTTTAATTTTGACATTTTATTACATTGTATTTTTGAATTCATATTTTATTATACTGGATGATCAAATTTTACATCTCGTATTTTTATTTAAAAATATTGATTAGTTGAGAATTTAAAGTGAAATAATAACAATTATTTAAAATATCAATGGCCAAGATTATAATTAACTTTAAATTTTGTTAATATATATATATATATATCAATCATTAGATCGCAATTATCATCGGTTGATTTTTTAATTTTATTCTTTAATTTTATTCTCACACGTTTGTGTAACCAAATCCTTAAAATTATCTATTTGATGTGTACCTATATGCTTATATATATGTTACGATTTTTTTGTCTTTAAAAATGAATTAATTTTTATTTTGATATACTTTGTACCTTTCTTCATTTTTTGACAGCACCTTTTTCATGTTATATTCCTAATTTTATTTTACTTTTTTACACCAATCCCTAATTTTATTAAAAGGTCTATTTTTAGCCCTTGATGTTAATTTTATTATTCCATTAAGTGATGTGACAAATAGATCATGAACTCATGGATAACTTGATAATATCAATGCATCACTTAATAGAGTAAAAGTAACACTACAATAAAATAGATTTTTAGTAATATTTAATATGATTTTTAATGGTAATAAAAATCATTATAAAATCTTTTACTGTTATTTCACATATTAGTCATTATATGTATTGTTGCTAAAATATTTACTAACAATTATTCTATATGTTGGTAAAGACCCTCATAATGATTGGAAAAAATATATAACTTTTTGTGTCATTTGTTACTGACATTTAAAATTGCCGCTAAAAGTTTAAGAAAAGATTTATAATACTCTTTAATTATCTTATTTATAGTTGATGTAAGACTTGTAAGATGAGTACAAATACTCTTTAGTTACCTTATTTCTAATTGATGTAGGATTTAGAAGATAACGGTTATCTTCTAAGTATATATTCTTTAATTTTTTTAATTATCTTATCTTCTAAATACCAATTTAGAATAGTAAGTTATAGGCTTAACTCAACCTTATAAAACATACTTGTAAAGTGAGAGTTATCATTCACTTATATACTCTTTAATTATTTTATTTCTAGTCAACGTGAGACTCAAGTTTTTTCTAACAAATAATTGTCGCTAATAATAAATTTTGATGTGATGTAAATACATTTTTAATGATCATTATATAATAATCATTAATATTTTATTAAATAATAAAATAGAAGCAATTAATTTATTGTCATTAAATAATTGTCAGTAATACTAAATTTTGTTGAAGTGTAATAATAAGGACCAAAAACTTTACGGATCAAATGAAAACAGTTTTTTAGAAAGCTAATTAAATCAAAATGGTTAATTTTAAGGAAGAAAGTGTATTTAAAGATAAGTGAGTTGATTTATTATGACTATACACAGGATCTGGTTTTGGATCCAAGATGGCATATGGCTCTGGACTATTCAATATGATGATCAAAGTACCGGGTAGGAATTCTGCTGGAGTTGTCACAGCTTACTATGTGAGTCCAATTTCAATTTTGGTTTTTAATTCCTAATGAAAACATCTTAGTGGTTAATTATCTCATCAATTCGATCTCAAATACTTTCTTTAGTGATTACACTACTAACTGTAACACTCTATTATTTTAATATTATTATTGAGTCTTTTCGATGTAAAATTTTAATGATGATACTAACTTTTTGTTAAGTTTATAAAATGACAATTAACTTTAATTTAGATATTACTATCAATTATTATATTTTTATGCCTCCTAAACTCCTAAGAGTTCTTTAAGAGAAGATTAAAGATATTCTTAGTTAGTCACCACCAATTATATATTAAATATCAAAGTTTGTTTATTTTAAGTATAACTATATGATTATATATACTCTTTATGAGTTATTCATTTATTCCATGTGAGACTTTAAAGTTGTTTAATAATGCTTTGTTAGACAAATGTGTGTTTGATTATTTGTTCATAAATTTGCTGTATAACTGACAAGTGACAACTGTTATATTTTGATTGAATGAGGAATGTGGTAACAGTTTAGGTGTTATATTTTGGTATTGTTATGCTCATTCATTTTGAGGGGGTTAGCGTAAAAGGTCATTATTACTAAATTTTGAAACAACCCAATTAAACAAGGCTACGGTACAAAGGAACCCAAGTACCTGATCCATAATCATAGATGAACAAACTGTCACTATAACACAAATAACTTTTAGCAATATTTGAAAAATATTACTTAATTATGTATATATGTTACTAATTTGCTTTTACAACATATTATTAAATATTGTATATAGTCTATATTGTTAAAGATTTTTAATAACGTTTTTACACAATTAGACAATATTTTTCTAATGTTATTAAAGTAATATTTTTGTAAAATTTTAATGATGATACTAACTTTTTGTTAAGTTTATAAAATGACAATTAACTTTAATTTAGATATTACTATCAATTATTATATTTTTATGCCTCCTAAACTCCTAAGAGTTCTTTAAGAGAAGATTAAAGATATTCTTAGTTAGTCACCACCAATTATATATTAAATATCAAAGTTTGTTTATTTTAAGTATAACTATATGATTATATATACTCTTTATGAGTTATTCATTTATTCCATGTGAGACTTTAATTATGGGTAACAATTAGAGATGAGAGAAATATATTTTTTTACTCGATGTAAGAATTTGTAATGATATATATTGGGGTTATCGATGAAAGCACGTCTAAAAAGTTATATATATATATATATATATGACGAAGGATCCGTTTTACTTCATAAGTAAGTCTACCTAGACTTACTCCGTTTAATAACTTATGTTCTACATCAAATCTCAACGATTTAATTGTTGAATTTAAAGTTCTTAATACATAAATTAAGTCTGAAAATTTTAAAAAAATTTAAAATCATTTGATACTTCGTTTCATTAATTCAAACTGAAGGATAATCATAAAAACATGTTATTCGTCAATTTGAATTAATGAAATGCAGTATCAAATGATTTTCAGAACTTTTAAAAATTTACAGATTTGATCTGTGCATTAAGAACTTTAAATTAACGGCTAGATCGTTGGGATTTGACGTAGAACTTTAAATTTACTACATTTTAATTCTTTAGCAACATTTTCTTTCTTACATTTATTAAAATGTTACTATATATTGAATAAATAGGTTATTTTGTAACTTTTTTTTTTTTGAAAAATGTCATTATAGATAGAGTAACACTTTTTATTTCAATATTATTTTTTTTAATTTTTTTCAAAATCAAAGTCTCATATCGAGTAAAAAAATGTCACAATTACAATATATGTGTTGGGGTAGTAAGGGTGTCACACTAACAATTAAAATAAACACAAATAAAATGTTTTTTCAATATTCAAAACTTACAATACAATATATAGAAATAAATGACCACCATGAAAACCTTTGTCATAGTACCTAATTTTATTATGTATTAATTTGATGGCAGTTAACTTCACAAGGAAAAATGCATGACGAGTTAGACTTTGAATTCTTGGGCAATAGAAAAGGGAAGCCATATAGATTACAAACCAATGTATTTGTGGATGGCCAAGGAAACAGAGAGCAAAGACATCGCCTTTGGTTTGACCCTACTGCAGATTTTCACAATTACAAAATTCTTTGGAATCAACATCAAATCGTGTAAGATGCATCTTTATCTCTCTCGCTAGAGAATGTTTGTTCTCTGTTCGTATAATCTACTTTGGATTTTTAATAATCTTTCAATGTCGTAGGTTAGGTAGGACTTAAGAACTTTTTTATATTTTTTTTTATTTCAATAAAAGAACTTACTTAACTTGATTTTTTTTTTCTAATTTACTTTAATTTATGAGTTTCACAAGTTTGGTTGTTTCATTGGAGGAAAAAATGAAATAAAAAACTCTTAAATTCTACATAGCAGTTTAAGATTCATAAAAAGTACATTAAGAATTAAAAATAGGTTCTGTTATTGTAGATGCCTTTTCTCATAAAAGAACTAAAATCAGTTGTACATGCGAAAATCATGTAAGTGTACTTCGATGATAAGAAAAATAAAAATAAAAATAAAAATGGGTTCTTAAGAAACTATATAATGCTTCACAAAAAAAAAAAAGAAACTATATAAGAGCATTTTATTAGAAATGAGTTATTATAAAAAAGAATTGTCATATAGTGATACATGATATAATATTTATTACTAAAAATTACTTTGATCTATTTTATAGATTTAATATATGTTAATATATTATTAAAAAGTATAAATATATGTTATAATACTACATAATATATGTTATTAAATTTCATTCAAAATCAATATTAAAATTGTATGTCATCTTTTATATTTATATATATTTGATCTATAATAGTTTTTTTTTATGTTATTATATGTAATATTTTTTTAGTGAGTTTATTTTGTGAAAAAAGTGGTTAATTATTTTTTTTATCATATTTACATGTGTCTTTCTCTCACTTATGCATGTTTTATTTATTTTTATACACAAATCTTAAAAAAAAGAAAAGAAAAAAAAAAAAAAGAGTAGAAGAAGAAGAAGAAAAGTGGCATTGTCCTTAAATTTAAATTGGAAAACCCGATAACTAACCAAATATTTGGATTATTGGCAGATTTTACGTGGATAACATCCCCATTAGGGTTTACAAGAACAAAAGCAATATTGGTGTGGGATACCCTTCAAGGGCAATGCAAATAGAAGCAAGTTTATGGGATGCAGAGTGGGCAACTAATGGAGGCAAAACCAAAACTGATTGGAGCTATGCACCATTCAAAGCAAATTTCAAAGGTTTTGATGTTAGTGGCTGTTATGTTCCAAACTCATCAAATAATAGCCAACATTGTTCTTCTGATAACTACTGGTGGAATAGGGAGAAGTTTTGGCAATTGGACCCTGTACGAGAAAGACAATATGAACATGTCAAACACAAGTATATGACCTATGACTATTGTGCTGATAGGAATCGATATCCAGAAACTCCCTTGGAGTGCCTTTAATTATCCAAATACTGTAATTAACTCGTATATATATGCTTCAAAAAATGAACCATTTAGGGTTATTGTTATGGAAATGAATTGCCACATATCCATCTTTCAGCAACTCAGGTGGGAAAAAATTTGATAACATTTATATTTATCAATTATCGTTGAGTATCGATTGTTGTTCTTCTTTATCCAAATTTGATATGTGGAGCAATCATTTTTCTGTTAATATATCGCTCTTTTATAGTGTATTGCTTGATTAATCTGAAATTGTTTTAGATGAACATTTTTTTTTACGGCAGTAGGTCAAGATTGATGAGCTATTTATCTAATTGTTTTTCCTTATAAATCTTTTAAAACTAACTTTTAATTTCAATTATTGCTACAAATGTGCGTATTGTGTTTTGTTTTAATAGCAAAAAGTAAGTTTATTAAGACGGCCCAATTGACCCACTTAACCATGTATGGATCGTTTGGATTAACTAATTTTAAGAAATAAAAATATAAAAAAAAGTGAAAATTAGTTTAAATATAAACTAATTTGTACACGCTTTTATATGTATAAATTCTTTATAATGTGCAATTTTTTAAAAGTATTCTTTTTATTTTGGAATATTTATCCAAAAGTGATAAACCATTAGTGTCTAGATATGAGACATTAATGACACGTTGGGGACATGCATATGTATGGAGGCAGAAATTATTTCATTTTTCTTTTAAATTTTTTTTTTTTCTGGAAAATTTATCCAAAAGGGCTAAACTATTAGTGTCTAGATAAGACACGTTGACACATTGGGGACATCCATAAGTATGGAGGCTATGATATATATTGAGATCCATAAGTAGAGGTTGCATGCAAATAGATCATTAAAATAGTTTAATCTTCTATCAACATTCTTTTAAGATATGAGTTGTTAGTCATATATGAAGACTACGTAGTGGCAGATTTAGTAACTTATAGTCAGTGGAGACAGTTTATTTAAAAAGTAAAAAAAGTATTTATTATTATTATTATTATTTATACATATATAAATTAAAAAATAAATATTAAAACACTTAAATGAAAAGTGAATTAAAAAGAGGCTCAAAAGATAATAAATAAACTAGCAAATAAAAGCTAAAAATTAAAAACTGGAACAATAGAGACAAAGGGTTCAATATAAAAATTTAGAAAGAGAAAAGATCATAACTCAACACATTCATGTATTATCTTTAAAGTTGAGAGATGCAAATACATCCCTCTATATAGATTTTCCATTGACATTACGGATAATATGCTACAACTTAAAAGTGTTCATAAAACTATTTTGAAAACTAAGCAAAACTATTAAAAAATTGAACTAATTTTTTTTTTATAAAATTAAACTAAATTATATTTTAAGTTCAGCTTAAAAACCTAAATTACTATAAAATGTAGTTTAGTGCACTATAATTATCTATCTATCTATCTATCTAAGA